CTCTCTGTGCCTCTAGCGCTCAAGTGTGAAACAGGAATGATGAACGTGCCCTCCTGGGTATGCAGGCTGGATGTGATACGATATGAAGGTGTGTGTGTGTGTGTGTGTGTGTGTGTGTGTGTGTGTGTGTAGGTTGCTCCGGGGCCTACGCAGCTTCAGGCAGCCCGGGGCTCTTACCGGGCGTGAGCTGGGGGTCCTCAGAATCCACGTCCACATCCTCGCGCTCTTGCTTCAGCTTCTGTGAGGAGAAGAGAGCAGGGCAAGGACCGTGCTCCAGGCGCGGGCTCGGTGTGGGGGGCCGGGCCGGGCACCAGCGCCCAGACAGACGGGCTGGGAGCAGGAAGCGTGTGAGGGGAGCTGTGGGGCAGGGAGCCAGGTGGGACCCTGAGGCCACACTCTCCATACGATGCACACACGCTCCACCTTGAAACCCACAGGCCCCTGCAGGAGGCTGTCTGAAGAGCCTGCCCAGGCCGGCTCTGTGTCCTGACCCCCTGACTGCCCCACTGAGCCCTGGGCTGCGCAGCTACCGTCGGGGCCAGTTCTGGGGTGAGCCCTGCTGCTGCTCTGGGCAGCCATCGGGGGCAGAGGGACAGAGCAGGCAGGTGAGGTGGGGGGAGCCGTGAGAACCCCGCAGACCCTCGGAGGAGGAGAAAGGGGCCGGCCTGAGGGCGTCCACCGGCCGCCACCCCAGGCCCGGCCGAGACGCCGCGCCCTGAAGCTCGGAAGCTGGGAGGCCCCGAGGGGGAGAATCAGGGCGCCCTGGCGGTGCTCCAGCCTGTGGGTGCGGGCCTGCCTCCTGGCTGCAGAAACTGCCAGGAGAACCTACTTGGTTCTGTACAAACACAAGGAAGAAAAACCAAGGAACCACAGCTCTTCACTGCGAGGCTAAAACCGCTGAAAAGGGTTTTGCTTTGGAAGTGGGCTCATTACAGGTATAATCTTACCTTTCAAAGCCGTGCTTCTGTAACAAGCTGTTAAAAACACGAGTGCCCAGCTGTCTTACCTTCTCCAAGAGTTTCAGGGTTAGCCGGGTCAACTGATCTGCCACCGAGGAGTCCAGCATCCCGGGGCCACAGGAGGGGACGCCACGGGCCCACCCCCTCCCCGTCTCAGTTCCCTCTGGAAGAACTGCTCAGCCAGAGAGAAGCAGCCCAACCCTGGGGTCACTGAAGGAATCCCACTCTGGGCTCAGTTTGCCTTCTGGCCTCTACGGCCAGAGAAGAGCGTGTGTGTGGCGGGGCACACGCCCTGGACGCACAGTGTCGGGCAGCGCATGGTGGTTGCTAGGAGCCACAGACATGGTGAGGCCTGGTTGCCAGGTTTCCACTGAGAGTCCTTTCCAGGCCTCGCCTGTCCCCATGCAGGGGTTACCAGTAAACACTGCTGATCCCCAGGTGTGGCCAGGCGGGCCTCCCTGGGAAGGAAAAAGTGGGCAGCAGCCCTGGCAGGGAGGACAGAGCCCAGAGGATGGGGTGGGGGAGGGGCATGGCATCCATCCTCCACGCACCACAGGGGCCTGCCACCCCTGCCCTCAGTCCGTTATGGCCTCCAGGAGGCCAGCAAGCCCCTGGCCTTTCCTAGGGATCCTCCCAGCCAGAGGGGAGTAAAGGCCAGCACACTGGAAGACAGGGTGCGACCACCACCTCCCTGCAGACTTCAGGAAACTCTGCGTGGCACCAGGGAGCTGGCCAACGAGGTGCCTGGGGGCTTCTGGGTGGGAGCTCGAGGTGGGCTCACCCCACAGGCACCCAGCTGGCACCTCAGAGGACGTGGGGCCACCCTGAGGCACCAACCCTCAGGGTGGATGTGATTCCAGCAGGGGGACTGCCCAGCCGGGACCCATGCCCAGAGGGGCAGGGGTTCCTAGTGCCTGAGAGGCAGGGGCACCTGGGAGGTGGACCATCGGTGGGTGACCCACCTGCCCGGCAGAGGGCATGTCCACAGGGCTGGCATGGGGAGGGGGTGTGATGGGAGGGGAGGGGGTGTGCCCATCAAGGGAAGACTTTTCTAAATGATGCTTCAATGCTTCGAAGGGCAGTTTTGAGTAGTAGTATTGTATTTTGTTTTATATTGTATCAATACCTACTGTATCTGGCATTTTGTAGGGTGTCCCTCTACTATTGGGATTTGTTTGATGATTTCTCACAACTGGACTGGGGTTATGGGTTTTGGGGAGGAAGACCACAGAGGCAAAAGGCCCTTCTCATCACGTCCCATCCACGGTGTGTGCCGTCAACACGACCTACACTGTGGATGTTGACCTTAGTTACCTCGTGGAGGTGTGTCTATCAGTTTTCACCACTGCACAGCTACTATTTTTCTCTCCCTTTCCACACTGTCCTCTTCAGGAGGAAGTGGCTATGCACAGCCCATACATAAGGAGTGGGGGGTTGTGTTTCCCTCCTTGAAGGTGAGTATCTACATATTTGGACAGCTGTTTAATTGTTAAAAATAAGTTAAGAGTCAGATCCAACATTTACAGAATATTTAGAATAGCCATGGAAATGATTCTGGGGTTCCTCGGAACACAGTTTGAAAACCACTGGCCAAAGCAGTGTGGGCGAACACATGCCCCCGCACAAAGTTTTAGCTGTACTGCAACATGTAAAGGTCGAGAGATTCAGGCGTAGGTCTGAGCCTCTGACTACTCCTGGGAAATCCGATCCTGTGGTCTGCTAGTGCTGCCTGCCGACCCCTGGTCTTATGAGGCCACCGCCTCATGTCTGTGAGCCAAGACTGGAAGCATCACTCACCACACAGAGGGCTATGGTCTGACACAGGAGGTGGTTGAATTTCCAGGGCTCCCTGAAGATTTGTGTAAGTTGCGGTTGCTTAGACTCACAAGTTCACACAGGTTGAAAGGTGAGCTTGTGTCAGTAAAGTCACTACAGCACGTTCGTGGAGGAGCATAGTTACTGCCACTCAGTCTCAGAGAGCAGACAGGGGGCACACGGCCCGCACACAGACCCTACTGCACTGAAGGCACAGGAGTGAAGGAAACACAGAAACCCACAGTGTGTTTGCTGGACACCCCTGCACAGTTAACCCGCACCAGTGCGGCTTGATATGCCACCTTTTCTCCAGTTGCCACTTGCAGCGCTGTCATCCTACCCAGCTCTACCCCGGCCAGATCCGATGCGGGGGCAAGTTTGTGGGTGTTTTCACTTCTCACACAGGGAAACGGAGGCACAGCTGCTTAGGGGTTTCCTGTGTTTCTTCCTGAGTTTGTGACCCCCGCCCCCCCGCCATTTAGGTAACCATCACCGGTTGGTGAGAGTATCCCCCCACCCCACCCTCCGCGATGGAACGCTCACCCAGGCACATTTACGCTACAGTAACAAGAGGTGCCAGCAACACGCTTTGGATCAGTGTCAGTTAGTCAGAGCTTATCAGCTTCCAATGAGCTTGATAACTGCAGCAGCATTTGATTGTTAATCAAAACTGTGGGCTAGAGAAACCTCGCCTTGCTTCCTCATCTGGACAAACAGGCTTAAGTGGAGTCTGAAGCTAAGGAACAATGATTTCATGAGACTCCAATTCCCACACGGACCATGAATTCATAACCCACATCACATTCCCTTTCTTTTTAAAAAATTTTTTAACAGACTATCTCTTTCAGCAATTTTAGCTTCACAGAAAATTGAACAGGAAGTCCAGCACATTCCTTTTTAATAACCATTTACAATATATCTGGATTGATTTACCCAAATGTTTTAAGGCCTTAAAACTTTTCCATGTGAGAAGAGACTTTTTTGCCTTTCACTGAAACAGCTCTCTCCCTCTGGTAATCTAGAACTGTGCACAATTACTGTATCATTTAAAATTACATCCTTACAGGCCCCTTGGCAAGTTGGCCCTATGGAGCCCCTTCCACGCTGGGGTTCCAGGGGTTGTCCTAGCAGGAATACACTTGTATTCCGGGTGTGGGTTTGCCTTTCTTGCCCGCAGGGCCTCAGCCTGACCCTCTCTCAGAGTTTCCCACTGCGTGGGGTCCCTGCTAACACTCTTTGACGCAGGGCACTGCTTTATGGCAGATGTGCCAGAGTGGACTCATGACTGTGCAAGCTGGGGGCAGACGCATTAAACCAGAGCCCTCGATATGGCACTGTGTCCCCAGTGGGAAGAATCCATGGGTCCAGGAGGGTCAGCACCGCCGGTGGCTTCTTGTCCCTGTAGCTCTGGGCTCCGTGGGTTGGGGGTGCCGGCCCCGATTCCCACTGACCAACTCTGGCCGCCCCCGGCACTCTGGTTCTGTGGGTCCAGGCGCCGGCGGGACCCAAAGGAGGGACTCCTAGGAACGGAATCAAGTGATTTTGCTGGCTGTCTGCGATCCTGACACGAACAGGGCCAGCATCCCGGTCGCCGAAAGGACCCCTGGAGACGAAAGTTTGGGTCCTGCCACCCCCGGGCACGGCCACAACCCGGAGCGATTTTAGGGGCAGCCCTGAGCTGGCGCACGCATGCAGTGGGGCCCGGCCTCCTGGGCTGTCCCCGGGGCCTCGCGAACTTGACTGAACTGGACACCGGCGCAGACTCCCCCCAGGGCGGCCTCAACCTCGCGGGAACGCGAACCGGCCTCCGCGCCAGTCCCAGCCGGGCCCGACGACCCACGTGCGCGGGGTCCTTCAAACCGACCAACCACAGAGAGCGCCAAGGCTTGCCGCGCCCCGCTCAATGGTCCTGCCCAAAGAGGCGGGAGCGTCTATGCTCCAATCGGAGGAACGGACGCAAGGGCGGAACTCCGCCGGGCCACGCCCCCTTGAGGGCACCGCCCTGAACGCGCGTGCGCGAAGGCAGGACCGCGGCCCCTGATTGGCCGCGGGCCGGGGGTGCACGCCCCGGGGCGGGGCCGAACGCGGGGCGGGCCCACGTCTGCGTGACAGTTGTCGTGGGGGGAGGGTGAGCCCAGGCGATGGGGAGAGAGTGTAAATAGAGCGAAGGCGGCAGCGCATCGGCCCCTTCACCTCCCAGCGACCTGCGAAGAACCCCGGAGTAAGATGGAAGAAGATGAGCAAGAGCAGCGGCGCAGAAAAGTGGAGGCCGGGAGAGCGAAGGTAAACGGCAGCGCCTCCTCCCCTCGCTGTCCCGGCGTGGGCTCCACAGGGCGGGCTCCGGTGCCTGCCACCGCCCCCTGCCAGGAGCGGACGCGGCCAGGAGGGGACCGCTACCGCCGCCCTCTTGCCCTTTCCGCCGACTGGGCTGGAATCCGCCCCTTGGCCGCCGCCATCTTGAATCCGCCGCCCTCTGCTTGGGCCCGCCCCCGCCGTAGCCACAGCCAATCAGCGGCCGGGGGCGCGCGCGGCGCTTCGCGGAGAGGTCGGGCGCGGGGCACGCCGGGACTGGCGGGGCTGCGCTTGCGCCGGGCAGGGGCGGGGCCGTGGGAGGCGGGCGTCTCAGCCCCGCCCCTCCCCCTGGCACCCCCCCCCCCCCCCCCCCCCACCCAGGAGAAGCCGACCCTCCCGCCTCGCCCGGTCACCGCGATGCCCGCCCCGCAGTGCGCCTCCTGCCACAAGGCGCGAGCCGCCCTCCGCCGTCCGCGCTCGGGCCAGGCGCCACCCCGCCACAACCACCACAGCCCCGACCACCCCTGGGGAACTGCCAGAGGAGCTGGCGAGGCGGCTTCATTGAGAGACTGTGGTGTCCTCCGGACGCGGCGACCCTGACGGCCGCCCGCTCCCGGAGCCCGAGGTGTGGGGACGGGCGCTGTCACCACACCTGCGCTCTTGTGCACACCTACTGGCACCTGCGCGTCTCCCAGTCCTCGCCCGGATTCCTGGAGGGCTTGGAGGCCGGGACTCCCTGCAGTTGGGCGACACGGGTGCTCCCCCTAGGGCTCAGCTCAGCTTCCATCCGATTAAAACGACGTGCAGAGATCGTTTTACATGGAATTCTGAAGTTCTTTTTGCTATAGAAGTTCAGAGTGGTCGCGAGCACGGGACTTGTTCACCCTGTGGAATGCCTCCCACCGACCCACGCCCTGGTGTCAGGGCTCCTGAAACGCCTGTGCCGCCTCCTTGCTGCTTGGGGCCCAGGTGGACGGTCCTGGGCAGGTGAGGGCGGAGGGCCTCTGCCGGGGCCGACCCCCGCGCCGGGCCTGGGAGCTCCAGACGCCCGGACGGAGCCTCCTGGGAGGTGTCACGTCCCTGCGCTGCGGATGCCCCCAGGAACTCTGTGCGGTCCCGGAGTGGGCCTTTGTCATCCACGTAGGCACCGTCCGGTACTCACTGTTCTGGGCGTGTTGTGGCGATTGAGCCGTTTACCGACCAGACGCGGGCCCTAGAGACAGCCTGGGCGCATGTGCTGTGCCGCCCTGGCCCACCCCAATCCGGGTGTCGGGGGAGCCGCTGTGCAGTGCCCGCGACTATTAGGCAGAGCCCTATGAGGTTGCTGTTTGAGGTCAGACGTGGTCAGACATTGGGAATTTCACATGGATCAGCCAGCAGGGGTGTTCATTTTCTTGCTAGTTCCTTCCCTTGAGGAAACCACAGGGCCACTGCACTGAAGGGAACACTCAGAACACATGGTGAGTGGTGTGAGGTGGTGACAGGCAGAGGACAGAGCGGCCTCCTTAGGCTTCCTGTGCAGGTCAGACTTCTGACTGGGGTTTGAAGAGTGAGGCTGTAGTGTTTTTTCCCCTTTGCATGTGCCTGGCACATAGGAAGGAGATTGGAAGCGAGTCAGAATTTAATGCTCACCGTTTTCCCTGAGCTCACCATGCTTTGTAAATGTGCCTAAATGTTGCTTGAAGGAGCATTAATGGTGATGAGAAGATTTCACCTTGGGAGAAGAAACAGATGCTTCTTGTTGGCTGACCACAGGCCAGAGACTGGGTCTGTGATGCAGGAAGGGATCTCACAGACGGTTAGATTTGATGGAGTTGGGCACAAAATAAACGAATCTGGGACTGGTTTTGAAGGCAGTGTCTGTTCTTGAGAGACGGTTTCTCTCACTTAAATTGCCTTTTGTGATTTTTCTATGTCCATGATATTGTGCACTTCTGTTATCATTTATACAAACATTTGTTAGATGCATTTGCTTTTGTGACCGGAGTGGTCATTTGAAGGACCTTGTCCTCCTGTGAAAAGCTGACATTAGCTATCCTACCTTTTGAATAAGGTGTTAGTGGGAGATGGTGTGTGAACAGTCTAAACCCTCAGATTTGTGGGACTGAACAGAGCCAGGTGTGCCTTCTGATGGGGACATTCTGCGGAGGTCCCTGGTGCTTTGGTGAGCTGCGTCATGAAAAATAGAACATCTGATTCCATAAAGGAGGATGTTAGATTGACCTGGCTTAATTAATTTTTTGCTATTTCTGTACCTTGTCTCAGAATCTATGGCAAGGAAGTTTTGGCTAGGCTATGTATTTCCCTGATTGGGGGAAAATGGGGCAAAAAGGGAGAATTTAGCTTTTCTATATAGTTTTAAACCTTAAACATGCCTTGATTAAGCTGTCAGTTTTTAAAATAGATGTACTTTTTAATTTTTGAATTTTTCTGTAAACTGTCAGGGGCTGGGACAGCTCTTCTGCCTGTCAGCCTTATTGCTTTCCTTTGTCTGGAGGCATCATTAACAGTCCTTAATGTTAGATTCTTCGGGTGTCATTCTGAGCTTTAACTCCCAGTATCGTAGATGTTAATGGAGGTGGTGTTTCTGGGACGGGGCCTGGTTGATGTGAGTCTGGCCAGGTGTGGCCGTGTGGACTGAGCCAGCCCCAGAGCCTCATGTTCCCCACAAGCTTGCTGTCTTTGTGGTTCTGTTACTTTTTCCTCACTTACCTTTGTCTCTACTACCTCTCTACGTTTTTGCGCAGCTTGCTCACTTCCGACAGAGAAAAACAAAAGGTGACTGTGCGCATTCGAAGAAAACGCCGGCGAAGAGGGAGGGCGCGGCTGTCCATGCGCCTGACCAGGAGGAGAGTCCGGTAGCTGCGGCCGAGGCCGGCGGACTCCTGGGAGGCCGGGACGTTGGCAAGAACACGCCGTGCAGCGACACCCCTGATGGCGCAGGAGTCCCCCAGGTAGATCTGCTCGGCTCTGTGTTTTCACGTTTTGCTTATCTTCTGGTTATTGCTAGCGTAATTTACTAAAAGTGGCCTTAGGTCTGTTTTTGCCTATCAAAAGTGGGGAAAGGGGGTTTTATTTTATCTTACAAAAGGGGCGTATATTTTTGTGGTTTCACTTCTAATTAAAGATTTTTCTTCATCCCTTGATTTTGAGAAATTTGGGGTGAACTGTTTGAAGACAGGGGTCAGTATTGGTGCTCGGTGTGGTAGCGACAAGTGTGGGTTCCTCGGGTGTGGCTGTGCATCAGCCCCCCTGACAGGTATCTTTGGACACTTAAGCCGTAATATCCCTTCACCTGCTGTCAGATCCACCTGCTTGTTGGTCTTTGTCCTTTCCCTCCTTTCTGAATGTGGGGTGAGGAGGGCAGGGCTGAAGGTGTCACAGAAATGGTGTCTTGTCTGCTGCTTGAGGCCCTGTGAGCTGCAGGGGCGGGTGCGGACCTGGGTGTTGAGGGTGCATGGCCTCCCTGTGCCTCTTGATTGCCTGCATGTGGGTCTCCTTGGGGCCTCCTCTCCTTGGGGCCTCCTCTCCTTGGGGCCTCCTCTCGTGTGTGTACTTGAACTGGGAGTACCCCTAACTTGTGTGCAGCAGGGCAGGGGCAGGTGTTTGCTAGAATGAGCTGAAAACTGGTGGTTGAGGGCAGAATTTGACTCAAAGTCATGCTGTGTCTGGACTGCCTTATTGAAAAAAAAGGAATGATTGCTAGCATATAAAGTTTATGATATTCTACCTATAAATGTATTATAGAATGTTCCTTCTTTTGAAAAATTGGAAGGCCTCGCCATGGCGCTCCAACTTTGCCCGGGGAGCAGCTGCCCAGAACTCTGGCGCCTGAGTCTTTGGACCAGCCTGTGCCCAGCTCACTCTGCCTCCACTCCCTGTGGTCTGAGGGACCTGAGGCTGGATATTAGTTTCGGTTCGTGTTCGTCCTCTTGTTGCTTCTCTGGGGTCGAGCTGCAGGTTCTCAGCAAGCTTGTCTCATCACAGCTGAGTCCACGAAAGCCACGTTGAGAGTGCTGAGCCCTTACTCTCAGTGGCTTTTCTCTGTATGTTTCCTGCTTAGCCTCTTTGAGGAGAAAGGCTCCATAATGTAAATTAACATTTATTAATTTCATATTTTTATTTTCAAATCAGACAAGTCTTTTTTATTTTAAGTTAAAGGTTTTTTGGTTTTTAGCTTTTCATTTTAAAATGTCAGACCCACAAAAAAATTGCAAAAAATAACACAGAGTTCCTGGAGATCCCTCACCTAGCTTCCTGAAATATTGACACCTATGTAATCATGGTTTAAATCACAGTCAGTTTTAGTTAACATTGAAACAATACTGTGAGCTAATTGATAGAGCTTATTCTAATTTTTCCGATTTTTCTGGTCCAGGATTCTGTATTGCATTTCAGTGCCTTGTCACCTTAGTCTCTTCCAATCTGGACAGTTTCTCAGTCTTCCTTTGTGTTTTATAAGTTTGACACTTGTGGCGTACTAGCTAGTTACGTTGTAGGATCCCTGTTAGTTTGGGTTTGTTTGATGTTTCCTTCTGATTGAAGTCAGGTTGTGCATTTTGGCAGGAACACGGTGGAAGTGATGATGATGTCTGCTGAGTGCATCCTGAGAAGAGGCACAGGTGGTGTGGTGTTAGCTATGTCTCACTACTGGGGGGCCTGCCAGATTTCTGCTGACAGAGAAGTTTTTGTTTTCCCCTTTGTAGTTAATAAGTATATTATGTAGAGGTACTTAGAGACCCTGTAAATACTCCATTTCTCATTATACTTTCCATTAGTTTTAGCTTCTATTGAAGATTCTTGCCTGCAGTAATTACTGTGATGGTGTTGGCCAAATGATGACTTTGTTTCCATCATTTTATCTACATATATTAATCGGCATTTTACTCCAAGGAGGAACTGTTGCTTCTCCGCAGTTTATTTATTCAATTATTTATGTCAGTATGGACTCCTAGATACTTATTTTATTATGGGTTTTAATCCATCATATCAATGTTTATTTTGTTGCTGAAATACATACATTTGGCCGCTGGGAGTGCCTTTGAATTGGCATCTGTGACCTTTTAACATGCCCTCATCATTTTCTGGCGCCTTAATTCCTGGCACCAAGATTTTCTAGGCTTATTTTGTCCTTTCCTGCTGCAGCCCCAAACCAGCCATTTCTTCAAGGAGCCCTGGTTCCTTTCAGTGGAGAATGGTTTTAGAATCCAAGATCTGGGTGCTAGGTGTGCTTATTGCTTGCGGGGTATGGTTGCTTCTAGGCTGTTTCAATAGACAGAGCCAGAAAATATAAACGTGTGTATATACACGCACATCTATGTCTATTTGTCTATTTGTATGTATAATAAAAACCATGAATTCACACTAATATCTTCAATTCCAACAGCACAGAATTTATTCTAGCTTTTCCCCTCTCCTTATTTTTAAAAAGCTCCTTTTTCCCATAGTGAGAAAATGGGGAAAAGGCTTATCTACAGTATCTTTACTTATTTGCTCGATCTTAAAATACACACAAATTAATTTCAGAATTGCTACTTCTCATGCCAGTAAAACACAAATTTACCAACTGTAGAATATTTGTTTACACAGCTATCCCTCACTTTTCGAAAGCTCGCTTTATACCACTTTTACAAAAGATCTACGTTAGTACCTGTTTTTGCTAACAGAAAGAAATTCAAAGAGGATTTTCAGTTTTATGAAGAAATCTAATTGCTTCTTTACCTTTATGCCATCTTGGTTTATGAAAGCTTTCATAGGAATGCTCTATTTTTGGTAGTGGGGGAAACCTGTAGTTGTTTTTGTCATTATTTTTCCAAAGTTTATTGTTTAGCATTTTCCCAGGTTATTTGTTAAATGTATGTCCTGTGAATAATTTTCCTAGCCTTGCTTACCTTGCTTAAGTTGTTTTCTTAATGGTGTCTTGTGATAAGCAAATATTCTTAACTTTGATGTTGAATTTATCATTTTTTTCTATGGTTAGTGATTTCTGTGTCCTGTCCAAAAGGTCTCCCCTAGTCCTGAGGTTGTGAAGATAATCTCCAGTGTCTTCTTGAGGCTTGAGGGCCTAGTTTCTATGTTTAAGTCTGAGATCCATCTCAAGTTACTTTCTGTGTATGGAGCACCTTGACTTTTAGAAGAATGGTTTGGTTTTGCTGGTTTTGAGTGTTTTATAAATAGAATAATCCCGTGTGCATGTCCTGAGTCTAGGTCTTCTTATCCAGCATCCTTTAGGAGTTAAAGGCTATAGTTCTTTCATTTTCATTGTTGTGTAGTATTTTGCTGTATGGATGTACCTTGGTTTTTCTGTTCCGCTGTTGATTGGCATTTGCTATGAACATTCTCATACAAGTCTCTTGGTGTCTGTGTGAGCACGTTTCTATGGGGCCGTAATTAGGTATTTAATATCTGAGTCAGTATTTAGGTATACTTTCAACTTGTGTATGTTGAGCTGTGGGGTTTTTTTGTTTGTTTTTTTTGCGGTACGTGGGCCTCTCACTGTTGTGGCCTCTCCCGTTGCGGAGCACAGGCTCCGGACACGCAGGCCCAGCGGCCATGGCTCACAGGCCCAGCCGCTCCGCGACATGTGGGATCCTCCTGGACCGGGGCACGAACCCGCGTCCCCTGCATCAGCAGGTGGACTCTCAACCACTGCACCACCAAGGAAGCCCTGAGCTGTGTTTTAAAACAGTTGTTCAGTTTATATTTTCAGTGGTGGCATATGAGTGTTTTCCTTGTTCCATAACATCTGTGATTGGTGTTGACATTTGTTTTCTATTTTAACAGTTTTGGTGGGTGTGGAGTGGAGTGTATTTTAGCGGAGTGCAAGCTTAGTCAAACATTCCAAAAAAAATCAGTGTGATTCACTTGAGAGACTAAAGGAGAAAAGTCATGGTCCTCTCAGTTGATTTAGAAGAAGTGTGTTCTGCGAGAGAATGACCTGTAATTTTCCTCTCTTGTCAGGTTTTTGTGTTGAGGTTATGTTGGCCTCACGTGATGAGCTGAGAGGGTCCTTTGCTCTGTGGATGAGCTGGTGTAAGATGGTGGAGCTGTTGGGGATTGAAGCTTTCTTTGTGGAAAGACCTTTAATTGCAGAGTCAACTTACTGAACAGTTACCAGACTATTCAGTTGTGCTTTTTCTCAGAATGTGTCCTTCTAATCTTCCAGTTTTGGGTCTGAAGTTATTTGTAGGAATATTCTTCTGTGGCGTCAGTGTTGATGACCCTTTTCATTTTTGTTTGTCCTTAGATATGTTTTTTGTTTGTTTGTGTGTTTTGGCCACACCCTGCGGCATTCGGAGTCTAGTTCCCCAGCCAGGGATGGAATTCTCACCCCCTGCAGTGGAAGCTCGGAGTCCTAACCACTGGACCATCAGGGAAGTCCCTGAATTGTCATGTTGAAAGCAGGCTACTGAGATGGCCTCTCCAGTCACTTAGAAAACTGGAGGGTGGATGAGTTCACTGTTGCTCGTCCTTCTAGGTGGTTCCCTCATTCTTCTGTTTCCTCATTATTTAAGGTGGTGTTGGCATGGTTGGGAATAATTGAGTGTGACAGAACAATCCTTAGGATGATGAAATAGCATCATGATATGGGAGAAGCAAGGTTGCTCAGATCTGTTTCGTGTCTTAGATAAATGCAGGGGTCTGGTAGTAATTGCAAGGTAAAATGTTTTACTCTAGAAAAAAAAAAGTAAATTTTCTCGTTGTTCTTTGGAAGACCTGTAAGAAGGAATAAAATTATGCCAGTCCTCTCAAGCAGTTATAACTGACCAGAAAAGAAACTTGATAAGTGCAGTTAGGTCCAGCAGACGCTAACGCTCACCCTGACAGCGGTAGAGTGATGTGTGGTCGGGGCTGGAGGTGCAGGTGGACACGGGGGTGGAAGCCGCCCGCGAGTCGCCAAGTTGTGCGCACCGAGCCTTCCTGCAGATAAAAGCCCCAATTCTTGTAAACTTATGGGTCAAAACTATTGGGAGAAAATTCATTGGAAAGCTTTAAACTCAATTTTGAGGTGATTTACAAAAAGAAACTAAAAATACTATTCTGCAAATTATTAAGGAAAAGATTTATCTAAAGGAAAATCTTTAATATGAAATATTTGAATTTATATAAAATTAAGAGCTTAGATAACATGTGTTGAGCAACTAAAGTTTAGTGATTTGTGTTAAAGTACACGGTGAAATAACTTAAAGAAGCAGAATTCGTTAAAAATCGGGCAGCAACATCATTAGGGAAGCAAGTTACATAAAAAATGTTTAGAGCTTGAGATTTGTGTAGAAGGAGAGTGCAGACGGAACTGGGGGGCCTGGAGGCGGGCGGGGCCGGGGGCGGGCTGGCTACCCCTGGAGCCGCTGTGGATGCTCCTGGCCCTTCCCCTCCAGCTGCAGGAGCCCGGTGGAGCGGGGATGCCGCAGAAGCTGGAAGGCGACGGTCCGGAGCAGCCTGGGGTGATGACGAAGGTATGCCTCTCCTGGGTTCTCGGTTAAGGTGTGTCCCTGTTGGGGACACAGTGGGGGCCAGAGCCAGCTGAGGAAGCTGGAGGCGTTCTTCCTGTGACCTTTGATCTTGGTGGTGGGCGTGGAAGGGAGAGTCACCCTTCCTTCACTGAGGGTCCTGTGGGGTCAGCGTGCCTCCTGGGCCTGGCCCTTGATGCACATGCCCATGTGGGCAGCCCCGCACGCGAGACACACTGGGGGACGGGCTTGCCGGCTGGGCGCTGGTCTTACCGTCCTAGTTCCTACCACAGTGCTTGGTGTGACTTCCATGAGTGTTGAATTGATTACTTTTCTTTAATCCATTCAGTTTTTTTTTTTTTTTTTTGGCCGTATGCAGGCCTCTCACTGTTGGGGCCCCTCCCATTGAGGAGCACAGGCTCCGGACACGCAGGCTCAGTGGCCATGGCTCACGGTGCCAGCCACTTCACGGCATGTGGGATCTTCCCGGACCGGGGCACGAACCTGTGCCCCCTGCATCGGCAGGCGGACTCTCAACCACTGCGCCACCAGGAAAGCCCTCCATTCAGTTTTTGTTAGCATTTGGGAGAAAATTTATTAGATGTTGACCAATTTCAAAGTGCTATATTGAAAGTCCTGTATTTTATCTTATTTTTTTAAATTAAAGTATAGTTGATTTACAACATTATATTAGTTTCAGATGTACAGCATAGTGATTCAGTAGTTCTGTAGATTATACTCCCTTAGAAGTTAACACGAAATAATGGCTATATTTGAGAGTCTGTATTTTAGACATTTGATTCTAGCTAGACTCAGCGCACACTACTTTGCGGTACGCGGGCCTCTTACTGTTGTGGCCTCTCCCGTTGCGGAGCACAGGCTCTGGACACGCAGGCTCAGCAGCCAAGGCGCACAGGCCCAGCCGCTCTGCAGCCTGTGGGATCTTCCTGGGCCAGGGCACGAACCCGTGTCCCCTGCATCGGCAGGCCGACTCTCAACCACTGCGCCACCAGGGAAGCCCGCAAGTTTGGTTTTTAGTCTGCATTATTGCAGGAGAAATCTAGCTCAGAGGAGGGCCTGGCAGGGCCTGGAGAAATGGTCTCTAGTGGGGTCCATAAAACCCAGCCTTAAATACACGTTTCATACTTGTTTTAAACTGCGACTTGTAGCATCTTTGTGGAAAAGTACACAAAACTTAGATATAGCCCAACACATGAGTACACTGTGAACAGCACGTGGTCTCTACAATTCAGGGGCAGGGCGGTGCTGGACCCTGCTCCCTGCTGCCCATCCTGAAGCGAGCACCCTCCTGGCTTCTGTGCCAATTCTGATGTAGAGCTTTGTGTGAATGGATCAGACATCGTTCTGGTCTTCTCTCTCCTTCACCTTCAGCATCTTTGCATCCTTCTATTTGAGATGTGTGTCTGGTGAGCAGCATAGGGTTGATTTTTAACTGACTCTCACAATTACTGGGCAGTGAATTCCCTTATATCTAATGTAATCACTGACGTGCTTATACTTATATCAGACGTTTAATTTGGGCTTTCTATTTGTCCTGCCTGTTTTGTTTCTTTCTTTTCTCCTTTTTTGCCTTCTTTGGATTATTTTTTATCAGGGGATTAAATAAAAATTCTCCCTTTGTTCATTTTGAAGTAATAATGTACAGTTTCTATTCTTTTAATGGTGAGATTATTAAATACAACATATATAGTTAATTTATCTAAGTCGAAATTTAATCAACACCTTCACCTTCCTCTTGCATAGTTAATTACTGAAACTCTATTTATACTTCCCTCAACCTCCGTTTTTGTCACAGTCTTTTTCTTAATTGTAAAGCACTCATAAATTTTACTATCTTAACCATTTTAGGTGCACAGTTCATTGGTGTTTGTACATTCACACTGTTAGGCAACCGTCAGCACCATCTGTCTCTAGAACTCTTCTCATCTTGTCAACCTGAAACCCTGTCTGCTAAGCGACGTCCCCCAGCCCCTGGCAGCCGCCATTCTACCTTCTGTCTCTGTGACTTGGTGATCCTACATGCCTCACAGCAGTGGGGCAGTGCAATCGTCTAGTTGTCTCTTGGGCCTGGCTTATCTCACTGCACTTGGTGTCCTCCAGGAGCTGGAGCTGGAAGTGCTGCGCCTGAGCCTGAGCGACATGCACGCGGCGCGGCTGGAGCTGACACAGGCGCACCTGCAGCGCGAGAAGGAGGCGGCACTGGCTGAGCTGCGTGCCGAGCTCGCTGGGCGGCATGCTCAGGAGCGGGCCCTGCTGCAGAGCCGCGCGTGCCGGGAGCTGGAGCTGGTCCGGGAGGAGGCAGGTACGCTCGGCGGCCGGCCCGTGGGTGTCGTCGGAGGCGCCTGGCTTCTGTGCTGTGCTTGGGCCTCTGTGTGCGACCAGGCCTCGTGGAGCCCGCCCCCACCCCCGCCCCTGTCCCCCTGTGCCCCCCTGCGCCCTGTGCCAGGTGGTGGCTCAGGTGCCTCTCAATCTGGCGATGCGCTGGCCTCAAGGTGATCTTATATGATTTCATTTTAATGTTTCTTGGAATATCTTTTGTTAGTACTTTTTTTTTTTTTTGCGGTACGCGGGCCTCTCACTGTTGTGGCCTCTCCCGCGCAGAGCACAGGCTCTGGACGCGCAGGCTCAGCGGCCATGGCTCACGGGCCCAGCCGCTCCGCGGCATGTGGGATCCTCCCGGACCGGGGCACGAACCCGAGTCCCCTGCATCGGCAGGCAGACTCAACCACTGCGCCACCAGGGAAGCCCTGTTAGTACTTTTTGTAAAAATCATACATAGTAGTTTTATTGAGCTGTAATTCATGTACCACATGATTCACCCACTTAAAGTGTTTAAAGGCAGCACTTTGGTGGCTTTTCGTGTTTTCATGCTTAGAACGTTCTTCCCCCGGAGAAGAGACCCTGGCCCGTTTCCCTGTGATCTCCCCTGGTTGCAGAGTCTCCCTCTCCTGGGGGCCCACCCACCTGGAGGAGCAGCCTTGTCGGTCCTTTGATGCCTTGCCTGTTTCTTCACCTAGATTCAGGCAAACACAAGGAGATGGTTCCACGTCCTCCCCTGCTTTTGTTAAATTTTAAAAATATGAAATATGCCTTCCTTAGTTAGGCCTGTTTGATGCTGTTTCCTCCATGTGCACCCCTGGGAACAGTCCCCCGAGAGGCCCACCCTGCCGTCAGGTCCCTGAAGCTCTGCTGCAGGTGGGTCCCCTGTGGCCCTGGCGGGACCCGCCCTCGGAGGCTGGCTTCTGGGCCTTCGCGTGATTTCTGGAGTTGCCCAGGCCACCCTCCCTGCGCCCTCCTCGAGCCCAGGGCTTGCTGGCTGTCACCTGGTGCTACTCCTCCCCAGCCCCACGCTTGGCCGCGCTCGCTGGTCCAGCCTCCTCTGCCTAGCACCTCCTTTCTTGTGCTTCTGCTCTCAGGCGGGGAGCTGTTGGGACCTAGAACGTCTTTACCTCTCTCCGTTTACTTGTGGTCCAGCATCCAGCCTGGAAGCTGGCCCAGCGGGATCCTGGACTATGGGGCCCTGGGTGCTCAGTGGCCTGGTGTGGAGTGGACGGGCCGAGGTCCCCGTAGCAGAAGGATGACGCAGGCTCAGTGCTCAGTGATCTGTGCAGCCCCGGAGTTGGCCTCGCCCGGTCCTCCTGGACTGTCACTCTGGCTGGACGTCTCCCGTCCTTTGTCAGGCATGAGTGTGATTTGCTAATTAACCCAGACATCATCACCTGCTTGTTTCTCACAGACGTGTCCTGTCCTGTTAATGTCGGCAAGTGTTCGGTGGAGCGGCCAGAGGTGCCGGGAGCCTTCTCGTCTCCTGGGGGATCAGATTGTGGAAAAATCTGAGCTGCAGTGATCTGAGCGACTTTTTATGTTTCTCTTGCAGCTGAGCTGAAGGAGAAGCTACAATCAGAAATGGAGAAAAATGCCCAGATGATAGAGGTACACAGGATAAGAAAATTCATTCCGTGTACATGGTATTTCCCTCATCCCCACCCGGGACCCCTCCCCTTGATTCTAACAAAATGCAGTCAGAGCTGGAGTCGCGGGGGTGAAGCATGACACACTGCTTTCTCTGCACAATGTGAATTCATCACAGCAGCTGGTTGTGGGCTTTTGTGTTGCCTGGTGTGATGGGAGTTTCTTTCCTCCCATCTGGTTCTGAGCAGCCCTGTGGCGCGGCCCTGGCTGTGCTTGGCACACAGACCTTGGTCCTCACGGATGGGCGATGTGGATGCCACAGAGGTGGTGATCAAGTGACGTGTATGGGCCTTGGGGAACCACAGTGGGTGGGGGGTGGGACGAGCGTGACTCTTGCGACCCATCCCTTTCTCAAGGCTATGCTTGTAGAACGGCTGTTGGCGCTGGTGATTGCCGAGGAAGTGTGTAGTGTTAGGAGATGTGTGACGTCAGGCCGAGGGGACCGGTGTGCCCTGGCCACTCTGGACAGGTGGTGGGTGGAGGATGACCTCGTGCCCCAGCCCCTGCCCTCTGAGCTGGACAGAGGGGACTCGTTTCTTAGGGCGCCTGGGACAGAGACTGACCCCGTCAGAGCTCGACGGTGTCGCTGTAGTGCCCGGGTCTTGCGTGGGGGACGGATGCCTGTCTTGCCGGCCGAGTTCCTGTGCTTTTGCCCAGCGACTAGTTCTGTTTCTGGCAGGTGGTCCTGGTTCTGGTGTCCTGGGCTGTTTGCCTGCAGGTGCTGCTGTTCCTGTCTGACTGGACGTCCCGAGCTGTGTCCTGTACTCGCAATCTGGTCTGGGTGGGGGTGACGGTTTTCAAATGCGCAGTTGAAATTTTTTTACCGCGGTAACAAACTGTTGGCCATCATCTACTTTTTCCTTATATAAATTAGACCCTGAAGCAAGACTGGGAATCCGAGAGAGACTTGAGCTTAGAAAACCTACGCCGAGAATTATTGGAAAGGCACCGGTCAGAACTGGAGAATTTACAAAACCAGTTTAAGAAAGAATTGGCAGAACAGAAGGCTGAGTTGGAGAAGGTTTTTCAAGACAAAAATCAGGCTGAATGTGAGTCTCTAATTAAAATGAGCAAGTTTGGAAGGGGACTGAGTTTTCCTGAGTCATCCCGGAAAAAATGCTGTGTGACTGGCTGGCAGGAGAGTCAGCCTTGGGGTCCTTCCTCGTTGGTCACAGGCATCTCAGGTTCCCTAAACTTTCCGAAACCTTCATTTCAGAGAAATCTTTTGCAAACAAACAAAATCTTTTGTTCTTCTACTAAATTGCTACCGAAAAAGTAGTTTGTGATTGTTCCCTTTCTGTTACACGGTGGGGCCCAGCGGTCAGTAGATGCTGTCTGCTGGCCTGCGTCTTCCCCTCCCTTCCTCCCCGAAGAGAGCAGGGTCCTGAGAACGGGGTCTGGAAGAGCCTGGGGGGCCCGCCGTGCCTGCAGCTGCCCCTGCTGAGGAGGAGGATGCTGTGCCGTCACAGGCTGAGTGACGTACCCGTCTCCAGTTTCCCTTCAGACTCAGGAGGCTCAGCACGAGGCGGCCCTGAGCAAGTTACGCGCGGACCTGCAGTTGGAACACTGCCAGTACGTGGAAGACCTGGAGCTGAAATTCAGAGAAAAGGAAAAGGAAAAGCAGCTTGAGGTAGAGGCCTTGTACGAGGGGGCTGGGGGAGATCTCGGATTGGGGTCCTTTCACGCTCTGTTATTGCCTAAAGCTTAAGCCCTAATATGTGTATGTTTGTGTTTATTTCTAAATCGGGGTATAGTTGATTTACAATATTTTGTACGTTTTAGGTGGACAACGTAGTGATGCACAATTTTTAAAGGTTGTATTTCACTATGAAGTATTGGCTAGACTCCCTGTGCCATACAGTGTATTCTTGTAGCTTATTTTATACACAGTAGTTTGTACCTCTTAATTTCCTCCTCCTAACTTGCCTCTCTCCCCACCCCTCTCCCCAGTGGTAACCACTAGTTTGTTCTTTACAACTGTGACTTTTTCTGTTTTGTGTACACATTCATTTGTTCTGTTTTTCAGATTCCACATATAAGTGATATCATACAGTATTTGTCTTTCTGTGACTTACTTCACTTAGTGTGGTAATCTCCAGGTCTATCCATGTTGCTGCAGATGGCAGCAATCCTTTTTTATGGCTGAATCGTGTTCCATTGTGTATATGCACCATGTCTTCTTTATCCATTCATCAGTCAGTGGATGCTTAGCTTGCTTCCTGTCTTGGCAATTGTAAATAGTGCTGCTCCGAGCATTGGGAGCGTGTATCTTTGTGAATTAGTGTTTTCTTTTTTTCAGATATATACCCAGGAGTGGGGTTGCTGGGTCATATGGTAGTTGCATTTTTAGTTTTTGAGGGACCTCCATACTTTAAACCCCCCTTTAAAGAGACTCGAAGTATTTGGTGGAGCTGGTAGGGAGCCATGTCAGGATATAGAGTCTGTGACTTTGACTTAATGATGGTGTTCAGTCCTACACCTGGAGAACTCGTGCCCTTGACGAGTGCCCCTGGGATGTCTACAGGCTCCAGCCATTAGGGGTGCAAGGGCACATGCTCTGACCTTGACTCAATAAACAAGAAGTTAGCAAGAAACGTTTTTGTGGCTCACGTATTCAGAACTCTTTTCCGTTGGAACTTTACATACCGAAATATGGGTGATGTGGCCAGATCTCACTCAGGACCTGAAGGGCCTTTATCACCAAGACCAAGAGCCAGGCAATGCCCCAAGCACCGCTTCGAGGAATTAGGAAGGAAATAACTGGAAGGCGGAGCTAGCCGAGGCCCGTGTGTGGGTCTGCAGGGAGAGGAGAGTCGCGGGGCCCGGGAGGAGCCGCATCTGCGCCCCTCGCGCCTGCTCCTCCCCGCTCTCCCTCAGACACGGGCCAGCCTGGCCGGGCAGGACCAGGGCCAGGCGGGGCCCTGCGGCTGTCCCTCTTCCAGGGAGAGAGGCGGCCGGAGGTCACCTTCTGCCCTGTGCCCTGGGTGAGGAGAGGCCCGTTCCACAAGGCAGCAGAGCAGCCGCAGGCCAGCACCGCCCTCGCCCCCCCCGGAAGCGCTCGGCCCTGTGCTTGTGATTTGGGGTGCTGGGTGGCCACCCTGACCCAGGCCCCGGGAGGGCAGGTGGAGCCACTCTCAGCTCCGGCGGTGCAGGGCCGGCTGGCACTCGGCACACGCTTGGTGTGCAAGCTCTGTTCATCCCTGAAAGAGTCGCTTCCCAGGAAGGTTGACCAGGGAACGTGGAGAAAACCACACAGGCCACACGAGGGTGAGGGAGCCTGTGGTCACAGATGGAGGGGGCCCATCCACCCTCCCTGACAAAGTAGGGGGACAGGTCTCTGCTGGGAACGAGGCCGAGGCCTGGGAGGTGTCCACATGAGAGGCCGCGGTGGCCGCGGGTTCCTCTGGTCCGCTCTCGGGGCCGCCTGGAGGTGGGTGGGCTTGAGCTGAGATTGCGCGTGTTCACCTGGTGCCCATCGGGTGCTGCACGAGTATCACTGGCACTGCCTCGGGCCCGGGTCTTGGTCGGGCTCCCACCCCATCGCCTTCTCTTCCAGTTGAAGAGCCTGTGCGCCTCGTACACGGAGCTGCAGGCCCAGTCACAGGACGAGATCCGGCGCCCGGGGGCCCAGCTGGAGTCTGCAAGGTCCAGGAGGCAGGAGCCGAGTGGTGAGGAGCCTCGCGTTCAGAATCCAGGTTCCCAGCGGCTAGGGCTGAGCTCCCACTGCTGAAGCCCCGAGCTAGTACCTAACGGTTTTGCAGGCCCAAGAAGGTGGCTTAGTAAACCTCTGTGAATTTTGAAGGCTGCGGCTCATGGTGCAGAGCTGCTGGTGGCAGCCTTGGCTTCCTCGTGGGGGCGTTGGTGAGCGATGACTCTGGCAGCCTGTGTCCTTGTGTGGACACGCACCGTTCACGTGTGCGACTGGGCTCACGCTGGGGCATGGTTGAGTGCCGTCGAAACACAGTTCTCAGTGGGCATTCGGGTCGTGGCTGTATACCGCCTCCTGTGTCCCGTGAGCTCACCTGTGTCAGGTGTTGTCAGGCTTCTGGGGCCCTGAGCTCTGGTTTGGGAGGTGATGTTTACTAAGGGCAGCTCACCTGGGTCTCCCCCTCACAAGACCCCAAGTCAGAGGGGTCTCTGCTCGCCGGTGGCACCTTCAGAGGGAGGAGGTCGCAAGACACGGGGCAGAGAGACGTGGGCTTGTCTCTCCAGACAGGCCTGGAACTGTAGGGTCTGCCCTTTTGCGTACACGTTACTGAGGAGCAAAGAACAGAGTTACGAGAAGGGACCCGCAGTAACACCTGACGGTCTGGGTGGGTGGATAGGCCTCCCGTCCCCACCCCAGCCAGGCTCCGGGCAGCCGCAGGTGGAGCTGGCGGACTGACCTGTGGGTGGGCTTCATGCGTGCTCTCACACATGGTTTCAGCTTGTGCGCCTTCCACTGCACCCTCCCCCGTGCGTTTAAGGACCCTCATGGGGAACGTTGATTTGGGATAGTGACCTGTTTCCGTCCCTGTTACTTGAAAGCTAATAACTATCTCTGGTGGATTGGCTGGCAGCACCCTCTGGATCAGAACCGTGAGGCTGACAGTTCTCTTACGGTCTGCATTACTGTTCTGTTGCCGTTAACAAAATACCACCAACGCAGCAGCCTGAAACCACCCAGGGTCACCCACAGCCGAAGACCAGACGTTGGGCTGGGCCTTGGCCCGGCTCCCTAGGTCGGCAGGGTCCCGTCCCTGTGCTTGTAGGACCGAGGTCCCATTTCCTTGCTGGCTGTCGGCCCAGGGGCTGCCCCCGTTCCTCGCCACGTGGCCCTCTCGTCTTCAGGGCCCCCGCAACACGTGGAGCGCTTCTCACACTTCCAATCCGCCTGACTTCTGTGCCGGCCTGAGAAAGCTCTCTGCCCTCAGGGCTCTGGGGTTTACTGAGGCCGCCTGGGTGGTCTCCCTGTTTGAGGCCCCCTGTGCCACATAGCATAAGCCCTGGAGGGTCCATTCACGGGTTCTGGGATGGGGGGACCTTTTACAGTTCTGCCCCCAGCACCACACTGCAGGCTCTTAACTAGCTTTGATTTCCCCTAAGTGTTTCATTTTGAGATGATGGCTTACTTTCATCCTGTAAAGAGTTACCCAAGCAGCTCCTGGCCCAAGCGTCTCACGTGGAGGGGCTAGAACACCTGACACGGGCCTTAGAGCAGCAGCAGCAGGAGAGAACCAGGCATGAGGCTCAACTGGAACAGCTGAGAATCTCTTCTGAAGAGAAGTTGAGGGAGGCTGAGAGGGGCCAGCAGGAGGACCTGACCCTGTTACAGCAGCAGCTGCAGGGCGGGAAGGACAACTCCCCGACGGAGGCTGTGGCAATCAGGTAAAGCAGCGCAGGAGAACACGTTTATGATTGGGTCTCGGCAAGATGACATTAAAGCTGGGCGCCGGTCTGACCCGCGCACAGGCTGCGGACGGCGTGGTGCTGTCGGGGTGGGTGGGCGCCAGCCCTGCTGCGCCCCCCCTGCCGGCGGTCATCCTGTCCTTGGCACAGAAGTGGGATCCCAGGGACAGCGGAGTTTGGTGGAGGGGCACCCGTGTCGGGTCGTTACAGCACAGTTTCTCAACTCATCCAGTGCCCGTTCAGAAGAGACGCCTGAAGGAGGAGGAAGAGACCGTCTTGATCAACTCGACCTTCAGCCGGAGCAGCACGAGGTGATGGGACACCGTTGTTTTGTTTTGAGGTCTAGCTGCCACAGGACATTATGACATGATGACTGGATGCCTGGGTGTGCTGTGAAGGGTCAGTCCGGGTAACGCCCACCACCACACAGAGGTAGAGTTTTTTCCTCGCGCTGAGAACTTTTAAGATCCACTCTCTTAGCAGCCTGTAGAGACACAATACAGCATTGTTAACTGTAGTCCTCTGCTCTACACGACACCCCAGGACTTTTTATCCTCAAGCTAGAAGTGTGCATCTTTTGAGCCCTTCATCCATTTTGCCCACAGCCCCTCTCCCACCTCTGGCAACCACCAGTCTGTTTTCCTTGAGGTGGGTTTTTTAGATTCCACATAGAAGTGAGATCAGACAGTATTTGTCTTTCTCAATCTGACTTATTTCACTTAGCATAACACCCTCAAGTAGCAAGATTTCCTTCTTTTTTATGGCCGAGTACCGTTTCCGTTGTGTGTATGTACGTACGTGTGTATGTGCCACATTTTCTTTATCCATTCATCTGTTGGTGGACATTTAGGTTGCTTCCATATCTTGACTGTTGTAAATAGGGGCTGCTGTGAACGTTGGGGTGCGTGTGTCTTTTCCAATTAGTGTTTTTGTTTTCTTTGGTTAAATACCCAGGAGTGGAATTGCTGGATTATATGGTAGTTCTTTTTTTTTAACATCTTTATTGGAGTATAATTGCTTTACAATGCTCTGTTACTTTCTGCTGTGTAACAAAGTGAATCAGCTATTATGTATATGTATATATTCTCATATCCCCTCCCTCTTGCGTCTCCCTCCCACCTTCCTTATCCTTCTCCTCTAGGTGGTCACAAAGCACAGAGCTGGTCTCCCTGTGCTATGCTGCTGCTTCCCACTAGCTATTTTACGTTTGGTAGTGTATATATGTCAATGCGACCCTCTCACTTTGTCCCAGCTTACCCTTCCCCCTCTCCATGTCCTCAAGTGCATTCTCTAGTAGGTCTGTGTCTTTATTCCTGTCCTGCCCCTAGGTTCTTCAGAACCATTTTTTTTTTTTGACTCCATACGTATGTGTTAGCATATGGTATTTGTTTTTCTGACTTCACTCTGTATGACAGTCTCTAGGTCCACCCACCTCTCTGCAAGTAACTCGATTTCGTTTGTTTTTATGGCTGAGTAATATTCCATTGTATATATGTGCCACATCTTCTTTATCCGTTCATCTGTCAATGGACACTTAGGTTGCTTCCACATCCTGGCTATTGTAAATCGTGCTGCAGTGAACATTGTGGTACATGACTCTTTTCGAATTATGGTTTTCTCAGGGTATATGCCCAGTAGTGGGATTGCTGGGTCATATGGTAGTTCTATTTTTAGTTTTTTAAGGAGCCTCCATACTGTTCTCCATAGTGGCTCTATCAGTTTACAGTCCCACCAACAGTGCAGGAGGGTTCCTTTCTCTCCATACCCTCTCCAGCATTTTTTGATGATGTTCTATTTTTAATTTTTTGAGGAACCTCCATACTGTTCTCCATAGCGGCTGTACCAGTTTACTTTCCCACCAACAGTGCACGAGGGTTCCCTTCTCTCCACATCCTAGCCAACCTTTGTTATTTGTTGGTTTCTTAATAATAGCTATTCTGACAGGTGTGAGGGGGTATCTCTTGGTTTTGATTTGCATTTCTCTGAGGATTAGTGATGTTAAGCATCTTTTCATGTGTCTGTTGGCCATCTGTGTGTCTTCTTTGGAAAAATATCTGTTCCGGTCTTCTGCCTGTTTTTTATTTAATCAGGTGGTTTTTTTTTTTTTTTTTTTTTTTTTTGCTGTTGAGGTATATGAGCGTCTCCATAAACATTGAGAAAGGTTGTGTTTCATTAATCTTTAGTTGGGAACTGGACTGTCTTTATGTTATCAAATCTGAATTTCCGTCCTTTTCACAAAAGCTTCCTTCTGTGACACTGACAAGCAGAGGGAGGCTTGCTTTTGTGTCTCTGGTGACTCCACAGGCTGCATTGTGTCTGCTTGTTTAAAACAACAACCCAAGGTTCAAGGCATGACTTGGAGGCGGGTGGCTGGCAGGTCAGGTCCTGCCTGCATCCCATGCAGGCACCGTCACACTGCCGCTCTCTACGAGCTCCCCAACCGCCTGCGTCGTGTGTGTTGATGACCGGAGAGTGAAGCGCTGGGGTGAGTGCGTGCTGGGCATCTTTTTATTGGCCTTTACATTTCTCTTCATTGAACGGCCTCCATGCCATTTGTTTCTGGCATCTCTAACCTTTGTGGGCGGCAGTGTTCACACGGCTCTCTGTGACAGTGGAAGCCTTCTGCGCCTGTTCTGATGCAGAGCTCCGAGGAGCCAGTGGCTCCCCTGTCCTCCTGCCCCCGGCGCTGGCGGTGGAGGTGCCGTGCCGTCAGCGTGGCTGGGCCCCCGGCCGCGCTCTAGGGAGTCCTGAGATGGCAGCTTGTGTCCATTTTTCACACCAGGAACAGGCAGGGCCTTGACTCTGTCTCCACTTCTGGGAAGTCCTGAGCGGCCGTTCAGCGTGTTCGGACAGCTGTTCCTCCATGTGGTTTGTTCTCTCTCTGATACTCCCGCGAGCTTCACGCTGCACCTCCAGGCTGGAACCACCAGTTTCCTTCAATTCTCATTTCTCTTTTTATGTTGCTTTAGGCTTTTTTGGGGGGGTGGGAGATTTTTTTCTCCCCTCTCCTCTAACTCTGCAGTTGGCTTTCTTATTTCCCTTGTCCTTGTTAATTTCTGGGGCTTTGCCTTCTTGTTCTGTGTTCTTTCCTGTGTCCTCTGCTCAGCGTCAGGGACGGGGTGTCTTTGGTCTCCTCCCCGAAGGCGGCCGTTGGTGTTAAGAGGCCTCTCGAGGCTCCGTGTAGCTCCTGCCGCGTCTCCGTGCGTCTGCGTCTCTGTGTTCTGTGGGGCGTCTGTGGTCCATGCATTGGTTGGTGACCTGAGGCTCTGCCGTCACGAAGCGTGAGGCACCATGGGGTCTTGGGGGGCTGTCTGACCAGGCAGGCTCCACCTGGGGGGTGGCCTCCCCTCCTGGGGCCATTGGTCTCTATCAGCCTCCTGCTGGGGTCCCTGAGGAGAGGGGCACAGTGGGGTCCCCATGCCAGTCTCCCTGATCCACAGCCCCCGGGGGTCGTGCAGTCACCTCTGTGCCCCCTGTACCCGCTTCCCAGCCTCCCGGGTGTCTGGGCAGCGCTCAAGCGGCTCCCTGTTCAACCCCTGTGAGCATCCGTGATTCCCGTCTTCCAGCAGTTGGTCACCTTTGGCTTACTGATTATCTCTTTC